CAGCAGGAACAATTCGAGGTCAGAACAGCAGCACAACACACGTTCACATAGAGATCTGAGCCAGATCCCGCCACCCTGGGAATGCTGAATGGGGGCTGGCTTTAGCTGTTGGGAAAGAAAGGGGAGTGCTTGTGACCAGTAGCACCCCAGCAGCTGTGCATGGCAAGAGGAGAGCAATCAGGTGTTCTGCTTTTGTGGGCAGCATGGTCACGGAGGCTAGGAAGGAACCTTCAGTGCTGGCCAGGTGAATTGGGGCAAAGGGCCCTTTCTTCATAGAGCAGAGGCAGGATGTGCACCTCATGCAGCAATAGCCCGCTCCTGTCCCATGAATCTGAAGCTTGGGTTGTAGTTTGACTGAAGTAAGCAAGCAGGCTGTCATTGCCGCAGGAACAAGTCTGGCACAAAAAACAATGCCCAGCTCTTATCCTCAGGGGATTTCAAAGCACTTTACGAAGGGGCCAGCGTCATTATTCACATTTCTCTGAGGTGGAGAGAGGGGACGTGATGTGCCCACGGTCGCTGACCAGCAGAGCTGAGACTGGAACCTGAACTCCTGAATCCCAGTCCAGTGCTCTATATACTCAGCCAGTGGTTTTCAACTTGTGGGGGTCCACAGACTACATCTAAGATTTCCAAAGGGGTTCACACCTCCATTTGAATTTTTGTAGGGGTCCGCCAATGAATAAAAGTTGAAAACCACCATGCTAGGCTATGCTGCCTCCCTAAGGAACTGAATACGCTGCAACTGGAAGGGGATATTGTGCCCATGTAGACATTCCCAAGCTAGCTGTGATCTAGCCAGATCACAGCTAGCTTGAGTAACAATAGCAGCAAAGCCCCCTCAGTCTCTCTGCTGAAAGGAGCTGCAGCTGGACAGGTGAGTGAGCCCTCATTTGCACACTCACAGAACACCGAACAGTGCCCGTGACCATTTTCCACTTGCCCCATTCTCTGACCAGATCACACCTGGCATGTAAAATTTGGCCTAAACTGAGTTCTGAAATCTGACTTCACTTACCCCAATGTGAATCAGGAGTGACCCCAATTAAGTTTATGGAGTTAAGTGATGTAAATCAAGACAACTCCAGTGACATCTAGGCAGTTAACTGGTGTAACTCCAGTGAAGTCTACCTGCTGTGAATCAGGAGTGACTTCGGTGAGGCGTATGGAGTTTCACCAGGATAAAGTGGAGTAAGAGGTAGATCAGGCCCTCAGTCTTTATTAACACTGCTAAAGTATTTCTCCAGCTAAAAAGAAATGCCCTTCAGCTGCCTCCTGGGCTATGAGGGAGGCGTGCTTGTTTGAATAAGGAAATGTGTTTGCCTGCAGACCCTAGAACAACAGAGTGGCTCATCCAAAGTCCAGTGCTTTAGGATTTTATTACCCACTAAAACAATCTGATTTGTCTTTCCTGCTAGGCAGCTGTTTCCCCCTCACTGCCACTTGTGTTCCAGCTGTAAAAGCTACCGTTCACCACCTACTCCTAGAATAACAAATACACGTCCTGGAGATTCAAGGCAATTTATTTGTGACCGAGGAGTCGGGACTGCGACCTCTGCCTCTATAAACACCACCCTGCTCCCAAGGGCTTTGAACACTCCTCTGTTGGCTTAGAGCCCAAAGCCTCCCCCCTCTAAAAAACCAAACAAAGGTAGTTTCTAAAAATATCTATTTTTCTTTAATTAAACCAGCTTTTGGGGGAAATTTGTTTTCCCTGCCATGTTTACACCTTGTCGGCTAAAGAGCCCTCTGGACTGTTCTGTGGGGGCTGGCTTGACCTTATAAAAGCACTAGTTGCATCCTGGAACACGGCGCACTTCTCCAAACTCTGTGATGGGCCCGGATGGTAACTGTCCTATAGAGTGCACTGCTGTTATTTTATGGTCACCCCCCAGTGTAAATGTAGACCAATGGGATCAAGTAGGTGTAAGGCCTGCCCTGCTTTGCACCGTGACTGCAGCGCACCCTAGTACTAGTAATGGACAATACTGTGGCATGTTTGTATAAAAGCAATGGAAAGCACTGCAAATCACACAGGTTAGATATGGGACCTGCTAGAGCGCTTTCCATGAACCCTTCTGGCCCTGACGTATATGCGACTGCACCCAAAATGCAGCCAAGGGATGGAGGAGTTAGAGAGCGATGTACTCAGATGGCTCCTAGACTAGTGCTCTGCACCCACCAGAAAACACAGCAAGGAGGCCAGAACTAATCAGCCATTGCTGGGGGCCTGCGTGCTCATTGCTAAGCACAGGGAGCATTGTGGACTTGGGAATGTTTTTTTTCCCTTTCAGCTCCACTTGCCATTTTCCCTTTGCTTTATTATCTCCCAGCCCTTCACACTGAAGGTCCATGCCTGCTTATCATTCCCTGGTACTTAGCAACGCCATTATTTCCTTGTCTCCCTCGCTGATAGTACCGAGTAGCCCAGCAGTGCCTGCCTGGCTGCGTGCTTTCTTCTGCTATGGTAATGCTGGGTTCTCAAAGGAGCCTTTCATGTCACCAGGAGCCCCCGGCCACTTTCCAGAGCATTCAGACACTATGGGCTCTTGTTTTACAACTTGACAACTATGTAAATGGAAGGGGAACATGGTTCAGCAAAGCTAGAGACATGAGAATGGGCCTGCAGGCTGCACAATTCACTATTTTGCATTACTTTTTATTTATTAGTAGTATTTATTATTATTTATCATTTGTGCTGTGGTCACATCTAGGAGCCCCAGTCATGGGCCAGGACCCTGTTGTGCTAGGTGCTGTGCAAATATGAGAGAGAGTCATTGTAACCGGATGGCTTGCCCTGCTGGGTTGGAGACCTGGGGCTAAGCCAACCCTGGCTTTGGAATGAGCCCCACCTGAGGGGAATCAGGCACTTCCCTATAAAGAGAACCAAAAAATGAGAGAAGACTCTGGTAGCGGGAGCTTGGAGGGTAAAGCCCAGTGAGCAGGAGGCAGCGGGCAAGGGGACCCCTGACTGTGTTTGGGACTGGATGTCAGAGCCCCAGGGAGGAAGTGCTGGGAGGACTGGCCAGGAGCTCAGAGTTGAAAGAAAAGCCCTGGGACCGAGGAAAAAATGCCAGTGCTATGTATGGACTTCAGTTTGGGACTCTGGGTTGTTGTGAACTGGTTCTGATATTAAACTAGCCACAGGCAGGGGTATTGTTAAGTAATCAGAGAAAGTCTCTGTGAGTTCTTAAAGGGCCCCAAAGAGAGGAAACAGAGGTAGGGAGCCTGCAGAAACACCCCTGCCAAGGAGGGAGTCCTCAGTAAGGGGCCACCCCACTACAGACAGTCCCTGCCCCAAAGTGCTTTAGTTCTGCTTGGGTAGTGATAGGAGCAAGGGACACAGTTTGGATCTATATCACAGATGCTGAAGTCCGGGGATGCAGGACCGCAGGGAGGGGATGTTAGTTCAGCCTTGAGCAGCTTCCATTCTTTCTACAGTTACTAGTTTGGTGCCAGTCGTGTACCCATAAATGCACCCAACACAACAGAAAGACAGTCCCTGGCCCAAATGCTTTGATACAGAACATTATGTTTGGGGAGTTGGGGTTCAGTTTGTCCTATTATGTACCTGGAGCTCACTTGAAGAATCGGGATCCAGATAAGGATTTGTCTTCCCAAAGCTCAGAGACATTTCAATTTGGACAATAGGTTCCAAGGCCACTGGGAGATCATTGTGATCATCTAGTCTGGCCTTGTGTATAACACAGGCCAGAGAACTGCCCTACTGAACTCAAACCTGTTTATCTGAGGAGTTGGATTCCTGACCCCTGGTGAATGTAGCATACAGATCATTACTGTGTGTACGAGCATCATAAATGATAATGTACATTGAGAACACATCCACGATCCTCCTAATGGACAATGCAGCTGCTCATAATAATTAATTCATTGCTGTAGCTTTCCCTGGTTAAACATTACCCTGGTTTAACCAGAACAACATATTGATTGCCCCTGCAGATTTTCATGTGGCAGTAGAACGTGGGGAAAGCTAAAGTATATACTCCTCAGTCCTGTCCTGCAGCCGGCTGGAATCCAGGCACCTATAAAACGTCCTTGTGAGTCTCATTATCAATGTGGAAATCGGATCAGAGGTGACAATCTCCAGCCTGCGGTGCTTCCTGCTTGGATGCATATAACACAGTATCCTGGAACCTGTCACTGCCGTTCTCAGTGTATATGGGGAGCACGGATCTGTTCCCTTTCACATCCTCGGCTCCGGGCTAATCAGCCCTTAGCTGGGCAGCTTGGGCATGGGCTGTATGACAGGGCCTTCCCATAGGGTGTATGGCATGGAACCCACCGTACCTTGGCGTTCACCCAGCTTTGCCCTAGTTTCAGACAAGGGTTTACATACAATATGACTTAAGCCAGATCCTGGTGCCCGGAGCCCCTTTGTGCTAGTGCATTGGCTGCAGCCTGAATCTCCCTGCACACAAACAGGAAGCTGCATGCGGCTGATTGTAAACACTGCGAGCCTCCCTCCCATGCTATTGCCATGCTGGCAATGGGCCCAGGCGCAGCAAAGCCAGCCTCACTACAACCCTGGCTGCTCCCAGCCCAGCCCCGCGCCCACCTCCCTCGCGTTCTCATTGGGGCCGCCAGATTTGTTTACCTTATATGGTCAGGTACTAACACAGCATGGCCGATGACTGGCTGTCCTGACACGTCACTCAGCATACGCCAGCCCCCCTGCAAAACTATGCAAACAAACCAAGGGCTCCTGGGAAACGTAGTGCTGGGTATCTTACCTACCTCGAAACGGGGTGTCTGCTGGCTGCTCAGCCTGGTGCAGGGTGGGGACCGACTGCTTGGCAGTGCTGCTACTAGCCCGTTGAGGGCCTTAAGCAGGAATATTTTGGGGGGGTCCTGCTCACACAACACATACTATAATTAATAGGGGGCTCCTGGAGCTGTTCCAGGTCTGAAGCAATTGCTTTGGCTGGTTGTGCATAACGCTGGCTTTGCTGGCCAGAGTCAGCCACTTTCCTGCCCTGGGAATGTGAGCACTGCCGTTGGGTCTGAGAGCAGCTGGCATGGCAGACAGGGCTGCTACGCTACTGCCCTGGCTCCCTGGCGCAGCTTCACACACTCCATGTGATGTCGTATTTCCCAGCTAGGAGTGTGTGCCGGGTGAAGCCCCCCTGGGCATGGAGGGGAGCCCACAGAGCAGCCCTGCGGTGCTTTCTGCTTTTAAAACTGGACCAGGCAAAGGAGACATGCTAGGAAGCAACGCTGCTATGGCCTGGATACCAGCGGTGGAGCTATCCCCACCGCCTTAGCCAACGTGAACAACTGCGGCCTTGACACAGCCTAGGATACCCTTGGCTAGGCCTGGCTAGTCCATCAGCCCGTGGCAGCAGTGCATGGAGTTGAAGTCCTGCAAATAACCCATATTGCTCTGTGGCGCGCAGAGGGGGACTTCCTCTGCAAGTCTGCCTGTGTGCACGGGTGGGTACCTCCAAAGCTTGTCTCTCTCACCAAGAGAGGCTGGTCCAATGCCAGCTGTTACCCCACCCGCCTGGCACCGCAGCTAGCCAGCCCAGCCTCTGGACTACAGCTCCCAGCCTGCCCGCCCAGCCCCGCCCTGGCTGTGCCGTCAGGGAGGCCAGGCTGGGTGAGTCAGTCCCCTGCCTCCAGTAAATATTTGTATTAGCAGGAGCCGGCTCTGTAATGGTGGCTGCCCTGTGAGCGGCGCAGACCCAGGGACCCCAGGGCACGGCAGGCAGCGAGCGGCGGCGGCGACATGTCGGTGAACATGGACGAGCTGAAGCACCAGGTCATGATCAACCAGTTCGTGCTGACCGCGGGCTGCGCCGCCGACCAGGCGAAGCAGCTGCTGCAGGCGGCGCACTGGCAGTTTGAGGTGAGCCCCCGGGGCGCGGCAGAGCTGGGCGGGGGGGCGTCCTGCCAGGGGCCCCGCGATCGCAGCCCATTTACAGCACCAGCGAGGTCACGGCTGGCCTGGCCCTGCAGCCTGGGGGGCAGCGGAAGGGCTGGAGCGGCACTGGGGCAACTGGCGAGCAGACCCTGCCGAGCCGGAGGGCGCGGGTAGGGCAGGAGGGGCTTCCTGGCGCTCTGCTACAGCCAGCGCCGGGGGGGAGCTCAGCCCGGCCAGCCCCGATCGGTGCCTCTGGCGCCCCATCCTGCATCTCGGGCGGGCCGGGGTCTTCAGCCTGAGGGGGCGGTGGAGGCAGGAGCTCCCGGGCGTGGGGCTCCAGGGCCTGGGCAGTGCCGCTGCGGGGAGGAGCCCCAGTGCTGAGCTGGGGGGTCAGTCCGGGACGAGCCTTGTGCCCAGGGAGTGAGCCTAACCATCTGATCTGCCCGCCTGGCTGCTGTGTCCAGAGCAAGCCCCCAGGGCGCTCACAGCCGCTCTCAGCAGGCTGCCATGGAGTGATTGTGGGGAGCGGGGATCCTCGGAGGCCCCAGTGCCATGTGCACCCATCCTGCCCATTAGGAGGCTAATCCCAGGCACGTCCAACCTCAGCTTCCGCCAACTGCTGCGGGTGCCCCAGCGTCTGGCGGAATGGAAGGCGCCATGGCTGGGGGTACCTCCACCATTCAGGAAGCGGGTGGTGGGACCGGGAGTTGTTTGGTATAGACTGCCTGTGCCAGCATCTCTGTGCTGCCCTGACAGATATATGTGTGTGTGCCGTGTGCGTGTGCTCAGCACACCCACTGATGGGGAATGCTCCATGCTGTCATGGTGTTGTTGTTTGTCAGGCCCACACTGGTCAGCCTCCCTAGGCCAGGGGTGGCTTTTCTGTCTCTAACCCTTGGGAAAGGAGACACAATCAGTACTGTCACTCCCGGTGCTGTTTTAGTGTTGGTGTGAATTGTGTGTGTGTACGTGGATGGGGTATATGTGTACAGCTCTGTGTGTATTACACGCATGTGTAGGAGTGTATATATGTCTAGTGTGTGTTTGTATAGACAATTGTCCATGCATGTGAGTACTATATAGCAGGGGTGTATGTCAGTGTATGCGGTGTGCTTGTCTTCTGCCTGTGTTATTAAAGTGGGACTGTTTTTTCATTGCTCCCAGATGGTCAGGGTTTCCCCGGGCTGGCTGCAGATCTGCAGGGGCCACCCACCCCTTTGTGGGCACCGCTCAGGAGTGGATTTGCTTTTAAAGGGTAGAAGGAACACACACCGGGCATACACGCAGTATTGGGGCAAGCTCTGGCACTGCTGGGGCAGTCTTTCCGTGCTCACCTGTACTTGGTGGGAGCATAGCAATAACTGACCTTATGTGACTCCCCCAACACCTCCCCATTTCCTGCAGGCAGAATGACGCCCCTTAGTGGCTATGGGTTGAAGAGCCCCAGTCTGGCCTTTCCTGTGTTCCTGTCCCCTGGGGTTTGATTCCTAAGGCAGCACCAGGAGAAGAGATTTTGCTGGTTAAAACTTCATTGGCTCCAGCTGCTTATTCCTCTGGACTGGAGTCAGGATCCTCTGTGACATCAGCAGTGATTGCTGGGGAAGTGACTGTGATGTCACACGCGTGATTGCAGCTTCAGGTGGGGAACATGCAGGCGGACTGTGTGGGCGCAATAGTCCTACGAAGCTCCCTGGTGGTAAAGAATGGGAGTGTGTGCGTGCTCAGGGGATGTAGCAGGGAGGGCTGTGTCCAAACAAAACGTTTTCCATGCGGCACCAGCAGCTCTATGCAGCTGAGTGTGATGGTTTTGTCACTAATGGCACTGTTGTAATTAGCGTGTCTGTTCTGTGACACAGAAGGAGATTTGAGTCCGTGTAGAGAGCAAGAGGTTTCTATTACACACATTTGTATGGCTGGGGCATCCCTTGTTCTATATGCACTACAGCCCTGATCTGTAAAAGAAACAATTCTGGGTGCATTTTATAGCAGGGAGTCAAATGACCTGCGCTGCTGGTTTGATCAGGTAGTTCAGACAGCTACATACTGTAGTCACAGGTTTTCCGGGTGCAGAATCAGAGGCTGCTGGTCAAAATCAGAGAGTGTGTGTGTGTGTGTGTGTGTGTGTGTGTAAATCCAAACAGATGAATATCTCACTCTCTCTCTGTGCACTGTCTATGCATACTGAGAGAGGCACCCACAAGGCAAGCCCACCTGCATATTTGCAGATTTTGCAAAAGGAAATATTGGACACATTTACATATGTAGTATGACCTTGATTCTGTTCACCAGTGTAAATCAAGAGCAGCCCTACTGGACATTGTAAGACAGGTGTGAGAGAAGGATCAGACCCTACCGCCTTTTACAGGTGAAGCACCAGGAGTAGGAACTTGCGACAGAAAGTTATTGTTTCAATTACATTTTCCAGAAATTTGCTACTATTTGGCAAGTTGCACAAGTGGAAACAGCAGTGTGCTGGCCGTGGGTCTCCCGTGCTGGTTTGGCACTCGCATGACTCAGAGGAAGCTCAGCTGTAAACAACCCAATGGGGACAAGTTACCAGTCACTTTTGGTGCAAAATGGTCAGACAGTTCCCTTTGCAAAATGGTTGCTGAGCATGCCCCCTTCTCAGAGCTTTGCTCTAGGAGTATTGTCTTCTGGGTACTCCAAACCCCTCATAGTCTGAGCCCATGGTCTGCGTTTGGAGAGAATTGTTACTCCACCCCCTTTCACGGGTGCCCTTCTCCAGGCTGGACTAGCTCCTCGGCATGTACGACTCCGTGGAGTTTAGTGGAGCTGTGTTAATTTACACCTGCTGAGGAGTTGGTCCACTGAGTGGTCTCCTTGGTTTCAGAAGCATTACTGCTGCAGCAAGGGATTGCTCAGTGTGAAGGTGGCAGAATCACACTCTGAGGGTATTGATGCATACAATCTCTTTCACTTGGGGGACCACATTGCTCCTGTTACTCAGAACTCCGTAACCCATGATCCCATGAGCTGTGCGCCAAGAGCATTATTACCGTGCCACTCCTGCATCACACCATGGCCCAGGGACAGAGAGCGCGGCCCAGCCACCAGTGTTTCGCTGGCAGCTGATGCTCCCACTCTCTTTGGGCAGGATGGTCCATTCCCGTTTAACATTTCAAGGTAATAAATTGCCTGACAACGAAGCTGAAATGAGCCGGAGGGTCTGGTGACAAAGCAACAGGAGTTGGCTGTTCCTGCTGCATATTTGGGCTTGTCTAGAGGAGAAATTTACCAGCATAACTCTACTAGTATAATTCTACCAGTCTAGTTACACCAGTATCACCTCTTGTGTGGACACTCTGATATCAGAATAAGGATATCCTTCTGGGGTTATACTGCTTTAACTAGAGTGGTATCATTACACTAGTAGAGTTATGCTGGTAAATTTCCCCATCTAGACAAAGCCCTTAAATACATACAATCTGCCCCATTTACAGCCCTTCCGGACTGCTCCACGCAGCAGGGTAATGCTTTAACCTTTGAACACTGTGCTGTTTCCAAGCATGTGACACCTGGGCTGTGCTCACTTAAGGTCTGGAGGGAGTGGATCTGGAGGTTGAGAAGTATTTCCAGCTACTGGGAGGCAGGTTGCACAGGATCACGTGAACATACAGTGCAAACTCTCTGGGGGCAAGGGCTGTCTGTGTTTGTACAGTGCCTAGCACAATGGTGGTCCTGCTCCATGACTAGGTTTCTGGGCCCTGTGGTTAATGCACATCATACTAATGAGGGGGCATTTCCTTTTGCAGGGTTGGGATGCACAGCACGGGAGGGAACCAGCAGTGGGTGGAGAGGCCAAGTTGGGGTGCTCTGGGGCAGGGGAACTGGAAGGTAATCTTGATGGGAGGGAGCAGGGATCAGCATTTGGGGGAGCTGTAGGAGGCATTTGTCTCTTGAGGATAAGCACACTTATCTTTAGTTCCTTTGGGGTGAGCTTCACATGTTCTCGGCATTGTAAGGGTTAGTAGTGAATTTCTGGGCTCCTGTCATTTTGCCACCCAGCCTCTCTGGGCTATTTGGGAATTTCCCAATCTGTGCATTCACATCAGAGGAGAATTCTGGTCCCGTAAGAGCCCTGGTACCCAGTAACCCACGCAGGCTCAGGGAAAAGCTGACAGACAAACCAAGGGGCTGGGTGCTCTTGATTCACTGGAGCTGGGGATTGTTGGTAATTTACTCTGTAAAATGTGTGTTGACTTTGGCCTGATCAGAGGCTGGTCTCCAGAATGGATTTATCCAGCATTTCCCAATGAGTGAAGCTAAATCTGTTGCCAGCAAAGCCGAGATTTCAGGGATTCCATCCGCTCAATCATAGCGGTGTACTTCAGGAGGAGACTCACTCAAGTCTATTGAATTGTTCCAGATTCGTCCCAATGTACCTGAGAGTAGAACCTGGCCCTGCCTGTCAATTAGTAACTGTTGGTAGGTGAAGCACCTTCAAACCCACATGTTGACATCCTTGTGCAATGCAAACATTACTGTGTTGTGATGCACTGCCATGGTGTCAGAACACTGCATGGGTCCCAGCCATGTTACATGATGCTCTCAATGTCCTGCAAGTCTCTATACAGCCTTGTCAGATCCAGCAGGCCAGGAGCTCCCAGTAGGTGTCTCATATCAGTGGGGAGGGAAACATCACCAAAGACAACACACGTTTGTGGGGCCGGAGGTTGGGAAACTGTTAGATTGTATCCGTTTAAGAGGATCACAGCCTGTAACACATTAACAAAGGTCTGAGAAGGAAACCATTCATTTTGAAGGAACATTTTTCTGTCTCTGGGGATTGGGGTAGCTCCGGGGAGTTGGGGGTATTTTGAGGATTCCATCACTGGCTCTTTCACTAGCCCTAAATTCTCTCCCATTTGAATACGGAAACCAGGGCAGATTTTTCTCTCTGTGCCTTTTTTTTTTTTTTTAAGTTTGCTGCTGTTGCAATGATGTCAACTTTGTTGCCACAGTTT